TCTCGTTCTCCTCTTTTGTCTAACCGAAAGTGTACATCAAAAGCCGCCTGTGCACCCGCCACCAAAGGATTCGACTTCTACCACGGTAAGTTGTGCCCCCCGGCCTCTCCTTCCTCGTAGTTAACACTCGAGCTCATATGACCACCACCACCACCACCGTGCCTATCCCGTTTTCTTTTTCACCCATTCAGCAGCAGCAGCAAAGTGCCACTGCGTCCGTGATGTCCAAGGTCAGCAGCAGCCTAGTTCTTAACCCGACCTCGCTCTTCAGTTTTCCGCGCATTGCCCCACAGACAGGTCAGTCCTCTAACATTAACGCACGTCACTCTTCCCCCCAAAACACTGATGCATGTGTTTACGCCCCCTATTTAGTTCACCAGCCTCTCTTTTCATCTCTGGCCGTTGTTGCTTTCCTCAAAGTTCGGAGACCACAACCATGTGGTGTGGAGGTCTGCTCACATTTGCGCAACCCTCTGGCGGAAGTGAATGCCACTTTGTCAGGAATGTTTTCCTATCCTGTATGTGTTCGACCACCGTATTCGATGATGTCCACGATTTGCCCGAGAGCAGGGACGGTGACTGTGGCCAGGTATAGTGAAAGTAGACGAGTCGCCATCTACCCCAGTCTAAACCTTAATGCGCTTTAAACCGGTGACAAGACAAAGTCGAGATGACCGAGTAAGAATCAGGCGTAAGCCGCTTTCTCCAGATGCAGCCAGAAAACAGCGCCCAACTTAATCTTTAGTGACAGTAGACTTTGCGTGGGTACTACTGTACTGTCTACCCTCACTCACCTATAGTAGGTGTCTAGCCTGATTCTAAGAAGCCAGGGCTCGTACTGCTACTACCACTACTGCTATTTCTAATACTACTACTAGGGTGCAACTGAGTGATATTTTTGCTGGTACTATCCTATTACTTGTAGTCTACCCATAGTCACAGCTGCCACTCCGAGAACGCCATTACGCCGTCGAGCAGATACACTATGGCGAGTGCTGCAAGCAAAATGCTGCAATTTGCGAAAGACTGGTAATCCCTCGCGAACCAACGTTAAGTAGGATTGCAGTACTGATTATCATGCAGTCTAATCTCAAGTGTTTTCAGTCACGTCATGATACTCGTTCTGTAATGAGCTTCTTTCTGACCGCTTATGAAATTTAGATTCTGAAAGAAAATGCCTGCTTTAATAGTATGCATTTTTATAATTGATTTTGACTGCCTGTATACATTCAAATATACTTTATAGAAAAAATGCACGAAAATATTCTTTCTTGTACTCTTTGCGTATCAAATTACGCCTTCTTTAAAGTTTATACTTAAAGAAAGGGTATCTTTTGGTTTTAAGAACAAGTTGATAAATTGCCGAATAATTTTGAAATTTACCGACTGCTACAACTGAATTCAAGGTTTCCAAACAGCATGCTGTGTACATTCTGTTTAAGGGAAAATAATTTTTGCCTACAGTTTGAGAAAGAGGTCGCATAGTTTTCATAAAATGTTGCAATATATGTGGATCATGCTGTATACATTATAGGCAGCATTAATAAATTGACGGATAAGATGTATTATGAATGAACACCTTACAATCGTAAAAAATCTCATAATTAGACATTTTTCCAAAACCGAAGGATACCCTTTCTTCATATATAAAATTTAAAGAAGGCGTAATTTCCTACCAAACGAGAACAAACAAGAATATTTTCGTGCATTTTTTCAATAAACTATCCTTTAATTTATAAAGTCAGTCAAAATTCATAATAAAAGTGCATGTTATTCAAGTGGCCATTGTTTACAGACTTTTTTTGCAAGCAGTCCGAAGGAATCTCTTAAAAGAGCCGGCATCCTGTCGTGATTGAAAGAGCTTGCGATTAGACTGCACGATAATCAGTATTACAACCCTACTTAATTTTGGTTTGCGAGTGATTAGATTTAAGTCCTCTCAGCACGTGGCCGTTGCTGGAACACGCACACCAAAAGTTGTGCTATTTTGTCTGCTAGTGACATTTTGTGTTATAAGTGAGCTGACTACACCCACGGATACTAGTTAAGTGACTTCTTATATCTTGTAATTGCTGACGGCGTGCTGAACTGACCGATTTTGTTTTTTCTGATCAGTGTAGGGACTTATACAAGCGAAGATGCGAGTCCCAGGAAGTAATTAAGCAGAAGACGACTCGATCGCTGGACAATACTTTTATTCGCCTGAGATACCTCGCGGATTCGTCATCAGAGCTATAGTCAGAGATCCGATAGGGTAGCGTATGCACAGGAGTTTGCAGTATTTATAGGATACAGTCATCACTACAAAAATACAAAGACAATTAACACTAATGGCCTTCTTGCATGTTGGTAGTTTGTTGAACGGCATGCGGGCTCTCACCTGCTGGCCCTTCATCACGCGTGGTGGATTCGGGCGTGATGATTGCTCGGTCCTAGCGATCGAGTGTAGGGACCTGTTAGCGTCAGCAGTAATCGAAGACATCTCGGCTGGAGCAGGGCGATTGCCTTGGTCGCTGGCGCTTATTAGCTGCCTCACCAGTTTGATGAATGGAGGGGTCTGCAGTAACATTGTATGAGGGGCCTGTGTCTTCCCCATTTACGACGAAGCAATTTGGAAAGCATTGTGCCGTATCAGTGCGTACGTGACATTGTACCCAAAAATCGCCCTGAACACCTTCTTAACTCTGAGCCACCTTGCCGCGTGTTCGAAGACAGACGTAATCGCGTTTGAATAACACATCTCCATTAGCTGAGGTGTTTGCCTAACCCAGACGAAGCCAGAGGATGAAATGAGATTTTCTAACAATAACGTACAGGAGGAGAGTAAAAGCATGATGGTCGTCCTCTTTAAAAGGGCCACTTTTTGGACAGGTAGGTCGGTGTAAGTCGGGGTGTTTTGACTGAAGAGCCGTTGCCTGTACTGTATTTGTTAAAGGTTTACAATAGTTCCGTAGGGGAGCAAATGTAACTTCAGACTTGTGTATTGCCTTGGGCTTTGACAATTTATTGTTGATTTGTAGTGTTACTGATGTACAGTTAGTAGGGCGTTTGCATGACGCGTAACGGCTGTGGTACCTGGAAGTTGGTAAGTTATCCCATATTCGAAAGACGATCTCGATCTGAACTGTATACATGAGAACGGGCGGTTGTAGAGGGTGCCCACAGACCTTACCCTGCACCACAGCCATCGAAAGAGCTTTCCGTTTTAACGAAACACACTGTGAGCCCTATATGGGAGGTTGATTCATCCGAAGGCTGGACTCCAGTTGGATCAGAAAAGAGTTTTCATGGTCGATGTCGTAGTGTAAGGCTTTTAGGGGTTAGAGGGCTGAAAAGGGGTAGCCTCTGTTCTGCTTGTAACTGAGAGGAAACAGACAGAAAGTGACTGGGAAACGTACATTTGCGTACTCGTCTGCCAACGCGTATCTGAACCACTTATTACATTTGCCCGCGATGTCTAATCCTGACTAGGCCGATCGAGGACGGCAAAAGGTTTTCCCGAATAAATTGGCTCTCATGTTTACCAACTATCGCCGTACGTCTCTCGTGGACGTCAGCACGCATGCCGCTGTCTTTCGGGGGGAGGAGAGGGAAGGTTATGCTGCATCAATTCAGGCATCTTATGGTAGGATTCCGAAGTACTTTTACATTTTAACATTATTTGAAGTAATGCTGTCGGAAATTTCTTTTTCGTCTTGCGTAGCGAAATTGCGTGCATTCCAAGGGACTGACTTTTATTCGCTGCCCACGCAAGTTATTCTGCCTGTCTGTATTCATTCGCAGGAAGACGTTGCCATCCTCGTCCTTCATGGGTTTCCTGAGCGACGTTTGGATAGACCTTATTCAATAAATCTTTCTTCAGAAGGATAGGAAGATGCGATCGCTGTAACAAGAAGGTTATTTGGCCTGACATTTCGGATTTTCGCTTTAACCTATCGTTGGAGACAGTAGCAGATAAATCCACCTTGGCGAGAAACTCCCCTCTAACGGCTGTTTAGAATGGGCCATTTTTAACTTGTGACTACTTAGTTGCATAACCTGCCCATCGTAAATCCTTCGTGTGTAGCACTGAAACACCGGTCTAGTCGGCGCAGTAGATATTATCAGTATCATTATATTTTGGGATATGTAGGTAAATTTCCTTTGAGTTCCCTGTTTGTACATATGTGTAGTGGTAGCAGAAAATTGTATCCCAGACTGTTGGCGAGGCCAGTTGTCCTGAGTCATGGGGTGGAAAATTAGGAGCAGAC